GACACACCCTTAGGTGAAGTTAGGTCATGAGCAATCTTTGTGTGAAATGAGAACCTACCAAGTTTATCCATAAGAAAGATATTGACCGGACATGAAATATGAAATTTTTCTTCAAGTGACCTTGAACTTCCGAAATGACCTTGGATCAAGGTCAAGACACACCCTTAGGTCATGTGCAATCTTTGTGTGGAGTAGTAGATTCTAATGTTCTAATGTAAGAAAGTTATGGACCGGACATGTTTGCACAGACAGCTAGACAGATGGACAAGCTGATTCATATATAACCCCCCCCCCCTAAAAAGCAAAATTTCTAGGGAAGTAAGTATTTGGTTTATTACAATAGTAATCAAAATGTGATGGTGTTTTGAAATGTATTTTCAACTTTTTTGAAATAATAATTCACAGCTAGTAGTCGTTATTTTAATAGTCAACTCAATAAATGAATTTAAAATGTTGAAGCACATAATGAACAATTAATCCTTATATCTTTTTAATAGTTAAGTTATTTCAATAAGTCTTGCAATGTGGTTTTTGTACTGGATTAATTATCAGCAACTATCAAAATCATTATCTGAATCACTTCGTAAATCATTATTTCAATTTCTTTTGAAACTTTATTTCAAAAGTGAACATTATTTCAATAGTGGTTGCAGCCTATGTTTGTTATTGAATTGCACTCTCAACCACTATTGAAATAATTATTTCAATCGTATTTCAATAGTGGTTGCAATCAATGTTTATTATTTAAATGCATTCTCAACCACTTACTGAAATGAAAGAAAAAGTGAGCAAGCTCACATACCCCACGCTCCCCCAAAAGTTGAAGTGCTGAAGTGTCCAGAAAAAATAAAGGAATCAGAATTTTTTGGTAATATGCACATCTACATATTGTGTCCAAAATATCTGCAAAATTTGACGAAATTGTGTGCAGCGGTTTAAGAGAAGTTGTGCTGACAAACTTTTTTTCTCAATATTCAAGATATAGCCAAAAATCTAAGTTGAAAAGTGTGGAATTTCCTGGAATAAATACAGGAATCGGAATTTCCTTGTAATATGCACATATACACATTGTGTCTTAAATATCTGCATAGTTTGACGAAATTGTGTGCAGTAGTTCATGACGAGTTGTGCTGACAAACTGTTCACCTCTATATTCAAGATATGGCCATAAAATCTAAGTGTAAAAGTAGGAAATTCCTGGAAAAAATTCAGGAATTGGAATTTCCTGGCAATATGCACATCGACACATTGTTTCCTAAATATCTGCAAAGTTTGAAGAAATTGTATGCAGCAGTTTAAGAGGAGTTGCACTGACAAACTGTTCATCTCGATATGGCCAAAGTTTTTTTTTCTCTTGGTTTACGATTCCGCCGACCCTATCTTTCCCTATTTACAAAAATAAAAATGTGTCTGACTCTCGAAACTGGACTCTTAATCCGAAATTTCCTCGACCAAACGATGTTTTTATGATTTACAACACATCTTAAACATTCAAATGATCTCCATAAATACAGATTGTCAGGACCAACCTAGGGGGCGACTCACTTACAGACTGTTTCTATACTAATGACCAATGCATCGAATACTCCGTCTGAACTCCTCTAGATTTTACAATTCCGGGTATGAAAAAGTCCATAGTTACAAGTTATACACAACAAGATGCAAAACAGCTGGACAGCTATCGATGTCATGCCAAAGATGTTGGAGAAGATTTTAGATCTTTTTGTTGTCAAATAATTAATTCATGCTGTGGATACAGACATATTTTTACTGTTAAATTGTGAAGTTATTAACTTCCCAAGTAGTCACACATCGGATCCGATAAACATAAGTATTTCAATTGGCATGCACGTACACGCGCCAAGAAGTCTCCCTAAATTTCAAAACTTCTTCCTAAATCTTTTTGAGGGAGAAATGTCTCCTTAAATTTTGGGTGTAGGTTAGTCCCTGGACACGCATATCAAAATAAGGTAAAAGTTTTTTGTGAAAGCAATCCATCACTTTTGGAGTTTCCAAAAACTTTTTCATAAGTGGAAAGGGGCTGACCAAAGAATAGCCGATTCACTTAATTTTACCCATATTTGTCCCGGTGCAATGTGTCTTTTATGGAAACTCATTCTTGTAAGTCAGAAGAATGAAAACCATCAACAGTAATAGAGCCTCTGATACTCCTATTTCTGTTCTTGAGTCATTTGACGTGTGATTCTTTTTTGTTGACATAAAACCGAATAGTAAAAAAAAAAATAATGTTGAAAAATCTTATGTGTTCATTATTTTTATTTGAATACATTTCAATGCCACTCTAGAAAAAAATATGTCAATGTTCCAAATTATTTTTATTTTTATTTTTCGACCGCCTAATGCATATTTTTGTGTCAAAAAATCGTAAACCAAAAAAAATAAAAACTTTGGCCTATTCAAGATATGGCCAAAAATCAAAGCTGAAAAGTACAGATATTCCAGGAATAAATAAACTAACGTAAACTAACTAATGTAGCACTCGAGAGCACTAGCACTAAAATAAAGATAACAGTCTATGCTATAAACAATATTAATCAACACATCCAGCTTTTGAACATCTGTTACATATAAAACAAAATAAAAATGTAGTAATTTTTTCCCCCTCATGTTGACGTTTTTGCACTTAAAATTATGGAACACTTCTAGTATATCCGTCCCTATAAATATGGCTCTAAAATAGGTGCCGCCAAAGGCAGTGTACAATATATAGACGATCGCGTGAGCGATCAACAAAATCAAAAAAGAAGCCACAAATTGCAAAATTGACCTCAAATTCGTGTTCCTTAAATTGTGAAAAATTGGGTTTTAAAAACTGATTTTTAAACATAGTTTTTTAAATTAGAATAAAAAGATTTCGTAAAATAAAGTACTTGTTTAGATAGTAAAACTCGATCTTGCGTTGTTTAGGAATGTGGTCACATGATCAATTTTTGATGTAATCTGATAAATATTCATGAGAAGCGTCACTTGTGTTTTGACGTAATGAAGAAATGCCTGATAGGACTCAAAGTGCAATGTTATTAAAGTTGCGAGATTTTTGTGAGAAATACATGGATTTAACAAATGTTAGCTAATTGCTAGTCATTGATGGATCTAATTGTGCATCATCATCGATTTGAAAGGAAAAATATTCTGAATTTGGACATTAGGAGTTCAGGATATCGAGCTGTAGTAAACGGTAAGTCGCTTTTACGATAACTTGCCTTAACTTAGCACTCAAAAGCGGTCATGTTTTAACATTAGACCTAGGTAGATTCATCCGAACTTTCGTTCATAAGAAATTCCTGTTCTTTGTAAGCAAAAATTTCATGAACTAGGCCTAACCTAGCTAACCCAAAGGCAAAGCGATGGAGATCAATGTAGGCCTATTTAAAACAGTTGCAATCTCTGAACTTTATATACTCTTACCCTAATCCGTCGATCGCATGTACAGGTGACTCTCGATGGCTCGAACTCCGATCTCTCGAAGTTCTCGATCTCTTGAAGTGAACATCGGGTCCCGTTTTTTTCCTCTATATAACTAAGCAAATTTACTCCTGATCTCTCGAATTCTATCTCTCGAAGTTCTCTATCTCTCGAACCAAAATATGGGTCACGTTACACATATTTCATTGAATTTTACTCTCTACCTCTCGAAGTTTTGATTGCGCGTGTAAACATGCCAATCGAGCGTAAAATTGATGCAGCCTGGAATTACTTGGAAAACAGTGAATGCCTGGGGCTGGCAAGCCTGGCATGGAGGTGTTAATTGGGTGTTTACTTAGATGTCATTACACCTATGGATCGTCTGTATGTTGATATAAGTAATAATTGGTTATTATTGGTAAATTATAAACGAATTATTTATTTTGACTTGACGTGAGACGATAATTAAAAAAAAAATAATTTATAAACGTTCATTTCATTAAGTTTTTTGATTATGAACTTTAATTAGAGTCTACATAATCCCAGTATGGCAGACTCTGCACAAGAAATTCCTTTCTCAAGGACTGAAAAATCTGGTGAAAACTGGAGAAAGACCCTATCAAGCTGCTGAATAGCCAAACCGACAATATTCGGGTTTCATGTAATCATGAAAAAAAGAACAAATAAATATTTCAGCTTTAGGAATTCGTTTTGTTTATTCGAAAAGCGATCATTATTGTTGATCTCAAATTAATTACCAATAAAATTCGATTGAAAACGTGCAATGACTCTATTTACATATACTTCTGGTATCTATAATATTAGAACATCGATGATGGGAACTGAAAATTCCAGATTTTATTTACTTTCTATCTCTCGAACACCTCGATCTCTCGAACTTTTCTTGCAGTCCCTTGAACTTCGAGAGATCGAGAGTCACCTGTATATTATGCAACACACCCCATATTTCACTAAAAGGTTTTCTTAATGCTTTAACTTTTACATGTTTCATACTTTATTCCTGTATATCGGCACGATTGATTCATGCAAGTTTTTGGTCACAAAAGGCAAAAATTACATGAATTAGCCCAAAGTCAGAAAGATTTCAGAGTGAATTTATAAAACAACCCCAATTTTAAAAACCATATATCCTAACCCTAATCACTCGATCGGATGTGTTTTGCTGAAGCAAGTGGGAATTGCGGTTTGTTTACATTCTGCATAGCAACGGCAAGAGAAATAACTGCTATGCGCAATTGCGTGATTCTGGGGACCAGCATACTAGAAAATTCCCCAAATTATGCATTTACAAAAAAATAGGACAAGAGGAGCACTAAAATTTTTTTTGATGTTGTCATGTGTAAACACTTGCTTAAATAAGCGTACAGTGAAACTCGTTTAGTACGAACACAGATATTGTGAATTTACGGATAAAGCGAAGTCATTTTAGATCCCCCACTATATAAATTTAATGAATTTTTTTTGCTGTACATGCAAAAAATAATCAAAATCAATGACATGCGATGTGCCAACCATTGCCAAGTGTACGGTGGACTGACTCTTGAGTACATTACCTGAGAAGTTCTGAAATATCTCTTTGTAGCTGTTAAATCGATTGGCCTGTAACCAAGCTGTGACCTCACAAGCTGAAGCATCACAAGTCAAGGGCTTCTACAAACAAAAGTCACAAAGGTAGTAATTTGTGGTCCATATTTCAAAACATAGGTAATCAAAGATTACAAAGCTCACCTCCACGAATGTAATCAGTCCAAGTAATGCAAATCTAAAATCATATTTTCTTAACAGTCAGTATTTATTCTGACAACAATATTCAAGCAAGTTCTGTTTAAATAGGTCTTAAAGTTCATTGGGGATTGATCTGTTCCAAAAACTTTAACCTGGTCACTCGTTTGGAAATGTAGGTCAGATCCAGCATCAAAAGCAAGACTGTTCACCCTTAGATGCATCATCCATGCAAGTTTGGTCTAGGTAGGGCTTATAGTTACTTGGGAATAACCTGATCACTCATCTGGAAAATGTAGGTCAGATCCAGCATCCGAAGTAAGTCTGGTAGTGTCCATCCCTAGATGCATCAGCCATGCAACGTTGGTCTGGGTAGGGCTTATTGTTACTTGGGAATGGACCTGCACCAAACACTTTAAGTTGGTCACTCATCTGGCAAATGTAGGTCAGATCCAGCATCCGAAGCAAGCCTGGTAGTGTCCATCCCTAGATGCATCATCTATGCAAGTTTGGTCCGGGTAGGTCTAATATGTACTTGGGAATGGACCTGCTCCAAAAACTTTAACCGGGACGCCAAGACTAACGCCGACACAGACGCCAACACAGATGCCAGGGGTATAGCATAAGCTCATCTCGACTTCGTCAAGGTAGCCAAAAAGTCTTTTTTTTTTTGTAATTTACAGAAATATTTTATAGTATGAAAAGAAGGAAAAAGGTGATTTTTTGAGGTACTAGTTCTAACTGCATGAATGACCTGGATGTTTGATTCTGATGATCCCAATATTTACACTCTCTGAATTTCATTTCTTACTGAAAAGAGGCCCATGAATGTTCTCAACATCACCTGAGTATAATATAACCCTTAAACCCTGCATGGAGGAGATTTTCAAAATAGAACTGTCCAAACGGGACAAAATTTCCCCCGCTGGGTTTTTTTTTAAGAGGTGCTAAATCATGAATATTTTATGGATCTAAGAGAAGAGAGAAATGCTAAAGCATTTTTAGTGCAAATGTAATTGTTGCTCATTATATTTTTAATAAATGAAACGAAGGCGCAGCCTAATAAAAAAAATAGACTAACAGACCAGACACAAATTATCAACTTTTTCTGTCAGTGACATTGAACTTGCATAAATGACTTTGGTACAGTCCCTGAAACATTCTACTTTCCCATTTTTCAGTTTTTCCCGTTTTTTCACCATTCGTTCACCATTCGCTCTCCTTTCACAGTTTTGCGTTCACCATGAGCTCACGTTCACCGTTCGCTCTTCGTTCCGTTTACTTTGTGTTCACCTGCATTCACCGTTCACTTATCGTTCAGTCTTTATTGTCATTCGGAACTCCGAAGTGAAAGGACTTATCTTTTTGATGGTAGGGATTTACACGTTGTTTTTTTTTTTAATTTAATAACTAAGATATCGTTTTTGAAGAATTATTATTTCATGGCAAAAATTATCTATGATATTTATATTTTTATTATTATAACTTAGCAGTTAATTACTTTATTCATGAAATTTCTCTGGAAAATAAATATTGTTACAAGCACATTATGTATGTAGAACAATGCTAAAATATTCAAATTTAAAATAGGGCAATTACAAATACTTCAAGCATGGCAACATTTTGTTGTTATGTAAAAGACGACAAATCAGAAATGATGGAAAATAATCTGTCTATTAATTTACCAATAGCAGCAACTACACAAAAAAAAATTCTAACAAGTATTTTCAAAAAATGCTCGAAAACATGTTAGAACTAGTTCTGAGAATTATAAACAGTACTGCTGATACTCAGTTAATTAAATATTGTTAGAGTGAACTAAACTGATCATGTTTTTTTAAAAACAAGAGGCCCATGGGGCCCATCGCTCACCTGAGAAGCTTTGTCCATGCTGTTCTTTACTGGATTTCCCCCTTGTAATACATATTGTGACCCCAACCTACCCCACTGATCATAATTTAGACAATTTGAAATCTACACTACCCCAGGATGCTTCCACATAAGTTTCAGCTTTTCTGACCCAGTGGTTCTTGAGAAGAAGATTTTTAAAGATTTTCCCTATACATTTCTATGTAAAACTTGGATTCCCCAATGTGGACCTGCCCAACCCCCGGGGGTCATGATTTGAACAATTAAATATCCACACTACCCCTGGATTTGAACAATTTAGAATCTACACTACCCCAGTATGCTTCCACATATGTTTCAGCTTTTCTGGCCCAGTGGTTCTTGAGAAGAAGATTTTCGAAGTTTTTTTCCTATATATTTCTATGTAAAACTTGGATTCCCCATTCTAGTCATTAAAAGTATTTCAAAATATACATGTGCCAACAGTGTTATTTTAAATTGGCAAGGAGTATGTGTTTCAAATTCAATTTCAAACTAAGTCCTTCCAAGTATATATTCCCAATATTTTTTTTATTATTTTTGTCCTTCAGAACTGATAGAAAAAAAATGTTAAAACTTCTTGGAAATAAATACTAAGTGACTCTTTGCCTTCGGCATGTTCGATGAACTGAGATTTCCATACCTCCATTGTGTCGAATGATTTTGATTGACAGGACAAGAGCATGGGCTTCTTGTGAAATGTGTGAACTTGAAGAAGGAAAATAAAAGCCGGTGATTACTGTCAAATGGATTTGTTAATCTTAAGAAAATGATTACTTACTGCCTGGAAATTTTAGGAAAAATAAGAATTTTTGTTTGATACAATAGATATCTGAGGATGGAGGGGGTTCTCTCTCTCGTATATTTGTCTGTTCAATCAAATATTACTTATTTAGTTTTGAAAATCTAATCTATTACATGTATAAACAAGAGGCCCACAGGCCTTACAGGTCACCTGAGTACCATATAACAACTTTCCAACAATTGAATTTGGTTCATGTTTTAAACCAAAAGCCATGGAATTCATAATTTTGAGAGAGGCACCATTGCTTATCATAATTACCTATACACTTAGCATGCTTACTCCAGTTACTTAATACCAAGAGGTAGGTCAGAGTAACAAAGAGAAAATGATCATTCCCACTTTATAACCACCAGTTGTGCACCCACCCCACAGGAACCACTGACCCTGTGGCCACATATTTCAAAATTTTGGAAATTATATAAATTTTATTCCATCATAAATGGTTGATTAACATCAAAGAGCAGATTTCAAAGCATTAATTTATTTTCAGACAATGTAAATCCCCCATACCCCTGACCCAGGGGCCCTGAAATTAACCATTTTGAAAGAGGCACCTTTCTTCATCATTAATATGTAATTAGATCATTGGCATATTAACCAGGAGCAAAGGAAAAGATTTTCAAAGAATTCATGCATTTTCACTGTAAAATCTTTAGAGCCCCACCCTAACACCAGAACCCCTGACCCAGGGGCCCTTAAATTCACAAATTGGGAAGAAGCATCCTTCCTCATCATAACTATGTACTTAGTTTATTGATTTAATACCCAGGAGCAGAGGAGAAATTTTCAAAGAATTTATGCAATTTCACTATATAATCAATAGAGACCGGCCCCAACACCAGAACCCCTGACCCAGGGGCCATGAAATTCAAAATTCTGGAAGAAGCAGCCTTATTCAACATAACTATGTCCTTGGTTAGCTTATTTAATGCCCAGGAGCAGAGAAGAAGATTTTCAAAGAAACTAGAACTGTCCAAATGGGACAAAATACCCCCCGCTGGGTTTTTCAGAAGTAAGTTTTTCCATAATAAAGATATGTATCACACATGAATTATGAAATTTTTCTTCCAGTGACCTTTATGTTCACCTACCAAGTTTATCCACAAGAAAAATATGGACCAGACACAAATTCTGAATTTTACTTCCAGGGACCTTGAACTTCCCCAAATGACCTTGGGTCAAGGTCATGACACACCCTTAGGTCATGGGCAATCTTTGTGTGAAATGAGAACCTACCAAGTTTATCCATAAAAAAGATATGGACCGGACACGAATTACGAAATTTTTCTTCCAGTGACCTTGAAGTTCCCCAAATGACCTTGGGCCAAGGTCATGTCACACCCTAACGTAATGGGCAATCTTTGTGTGAAATGAGAACCTACCAAATTTATCCATAAGAAAGATATGGACAGGACGCAAATAATGAAATTTTTATTCCAGTGACCTTGAACTTCCCCAAATGACCTTGGGTCACGGTCATAACACATCTTAACATCATGGGCAATCTTTGTGTGAAATGAGAACCTACCAAATTTATCCATAAGAAAGATATGGACAGGACGCAAATAATGAAATTTTTCTTCTAGTGACCTTGAAGTTCCCCAAATGACCTTGGGTCAAGGTCATGACACACCCTTAGATCATGGGCAATCTTTGCGTGAAATGAGAACCTACCAAGTTTATCCATAAGAAAGATATGGACCGGACATGAATTATGAAATTTTTCTTCCAGTGACCTTGAAGTTCCCAAAATGACCTTGGGTCAAGGTCATGACACACCCTTAGGTTATGGGCAATCTTTGTGTGGAGTAGTAGATTCTAATGTCCCTATATAAGAAAGATATGGACCGGACACGTTTGCACAGACAGACGGACAGCTAGACAGACGGACGGACAAGGTGATTCCTATATACCCCCCAAACTTCGTTTGCGTGGGGTATAATAATGCATTTTCACTATATAATCTATTTAGCCCCGCCCTTACATTAGAACCCTGCCCCTGGGGCCATGAATTTCACAATTTTGGCAGAGGCACTCTGCCTCATCATAACCATGTACTTGGTTTATAAAATATCCAGGAGCAGAGAAGAAGATTTTCAAAGAATTAATGCATTTTCACTATATAATCAAAAGAGCCCCGCCCCAACACATGAGACCCCTGACCCTGGGGCCATTAAATTCACAATTTTGGTAGAGGTACTCTTGCTCACCATAACTATTTAGTTAGTTGGTTTAT